GGCAAGATAACTTGCAACAGTGGCAGCTCGAACAGCAAAATAAACAAGAGAGATTATAGCAGTTGTTGGAGGAAAAAGAGAAGGAACAAGAAGAACGAGAAAATAAACAAGAAGAGAGACTACAGCAGTGGTTGGAGAAGAAAGAAAATGAACAAGAAGAGAGACTACAACAATGGATGGAGGAGAAAGAAAATAAACAAGAATAAAGTCTCCAACAGTTGAAAGAAAGCCAGAGTACACAAATGGAAAACATTAGTAAATTTCAAAGCGAATTAAATACAATGTACCTGATGATGACAAAACCTTGTCGAAACGTTGTACACTTGTTGTTATGTTAAACTTATATTAAAGTTTTTCTTCATTACCCATTCAAGCCGTCTCCAGCCATTATTAGTCTCAAAGTGGGTTCCTCGTCATCGAACATTAAAGGATGATTTATTGTTTTTTACACAAGGAGGATACATTAACCACTGACTTAATCAGCCCCAGATAACAGAAAGCCTCTTCCAGACCCCGCAGCTAAACCCTAATGCAAACATCTTCAGTCCTGCCAGAAGTCACATCCCAGATATGAATGTCACCAATAGGGGTGATCTAGTACGAAGGAAGCCACAGAAATTCGATGGGAAGGCACCGTGGGAAGCATATAGAGCACAATTTGAGCTCCTGGCAGAGATGAATGGATGGACAGAGGAGCAGAAAGCAGTATATCTGGAAAGAGCTTGAAGGGACAACCACTGGAAATACTTGGACAGTTGTCAGCAGACGCCAGATACAACTACAGAGCACTAGTAGCTGCTCTAGAACTCAGGTATGGAACCCAAAATCAGTCTGAAGTCTACAGAGCTAGGTTTAGGAAGAGAGTCCGTGCTAAAGGGGAGAGCCTGTAAGAGCTGGCACAGGATTTGGAAAGCATGGCCTACCCAACTGCGCCACCCAATGTCATTAAGTTGTTGCTGAGGGATCAGTTTGTAGATGCCTTGGACAGTCCACAACTGATGATACAAGTAAAGCAAGCACACTCCTCTACTATGCAGGATGCAATGGCCAGAGCTCTTGAATTTGAATCCTATGTTAAGTCCAGCACAGAGGTACCAACGTTGGTAC